CTGATGTAATATTTTTTCTGGAGGGGGTTAGGGCTAACAAAACGGCTCGTTGTTCACGAGCAGCTCTTGTTCGAATCTCGTTAGAATTGTTCGGCTCTTGCATAAGTTAACGAGTCGAACATCAATAAAGATGTGTTTGTTTCTATTTCGCTTGTTTTAGCTCGAATTACTATTCATCAAGTTTATATATATATATATAACACGAATAAATATGTGTTTGTTCGTGTTCGGCTCGTTTTGACTCGAAATACTACTCATCAAGTATATATATATTCGTGTTCGGCTCGTTTTGGCTCGAAATACTACTCATCAAGTTTACATATATAGATATATATATGTAGTATTTTTAAAAAAATCTAATTGATTACAAGGCTACAAAGATTTATAATCGATTAAAATATTAATTAAGAAAATAGAATAAAAATTCTTAAATTATATTCAAATGATGTTTTAATATAAATAATAATTTTTAAATCTTGTTCAAACCCTTATCGTCTTATGACTACGTGATTAGGGCTGTTAAAAGGACTCTTTGTTCGTGAACAACTCGTGTTCGGCTCGTTTCCTACGAACACATGTTTTGAGCTAGAAATATAAACTAGCCAAACACGAGCTGAGCATGGCTCACTCGTCTTCGGCTCGTGTACACCCCTACTGGGGGTGCAGTCCCACGAGGAGCGGCTCGGGTTCGCGAAGATTGGAGGCAGCTATGCACGTGAGAAATTAATCAAGCCTCCTTTGTTTTCGGCTGTAAAGGGATTTATCCCTCTTTAATACATATTTTATATATTTTTTTCCTAATTCTAAATAAAAACTTATACATTTGTGTGTTTTTTATGTTTGTGCACTGAACCCTAGCAATATGAGTGTCATCCCTAATCAAAATTGATGTTTTGAATGCATTAGCGTTGTCCGTTTCACCATTTAAGGTCAACGAGACAAATTTGTCGACAATCAAACTAATTTGAGCCTAATTTGTTCGGGAACGTTCGAATGAAATTTATTAGTCTAGTCGAAGTGGTATGAGCGACAAAATGTCAATTGGGTTATCCTAAACGAAAGTCAAAGTCTCGCAATTCCGTCTTCGGTAGTGTGTTCTTCAATATGGTTTTAAATAAATGTATTGCACTGCGGGAATCGACGCATGCATCAGCAATATTTCATAGTGTTTGAGCATACATCATACACTCGCGACAATAAAATTTGATATTGATATGGGTTCTGAGGCACCAGACGAGCGGAGCTACTCAACGCGGATCAAAAGTGGCTTGCTCGTATCTCGTACTTTAATTATCAATCTCATTCATGTATAAAATTATGACCAGGCGTGTACACTTGCAGTGTCTGATTGTCTTTTTATGTTTATGGGATGTGTTGTCTACCAAGTGATGCCCCTGTTTGTGTGTATTATTTTATGTTTTGCTTGTTTTTACTTTTTACAGCGTGCTTGACTTGTTTTCATCGTTATTTGTTTGCAGTTTATCTAGAAACCGTGTGAATATAACATAGGCTTTTTAAGAACCCTAACATTATAATTTTTTCTATAAAAATCCTAATAAAAGATTCAGATTAATCAAAATTTTATGATTAAAATATTTTAAGATTTTCAAACCTAAATTTTACTTTTCTTTATTGTATTCAGGTTGGTTTTAAAATGATTTACATTACATAGATATATTATGATTCGTATTAATAGTGCCTCCATGCTTAGGACTAGACAATTGCATTACGTTGCATGTCCCGAGGGAGAAGCCCCCATGCTTCTTCAACCTGACTGGTCTAACATAGTTTTATACTTATGCAGTTCTCTAGCATGGTTAGGGTGTTGGAGGCTTTCTTGACATAGATGGGGAGTAAGTCCTTGGTTGAGAGTGTTCTCAGCTTTGTAGTTGGACCTCTCGTTTCTATTCCTTTATGTGGCATTATCATCATTTATTTGGCGATAATAAGTTCTACCTCGATGAGCTTTACCTTTATAAGTCATTGGAATTAGAGTTTTATTCTTTTGACCTTAAGGATGTCGGTGTCCCCTTGGACGAAGTGATTCATGAATTGATGATAAGTGATCTATGGTTGTGTTAGGTCGACCGCCTTTATGACAGGGTAGACTTAGAGTCTTAATAGCTCGGGATGAATGATCTGTAATATACTAACCCGTCAATCTCTACTCGATTAGGAATACTCCTCCCCTTTATTACCCACTTTAAGCTATATCGCTCCCTTTGAAGCTTCGTCGATATCTTCTCTTAAGCCTTGATTGTGGATAGGTCGTCACTCGCTTGGGATACGACGATTCGCCCTTTAGCCATATGACTTGGTTAGTCCTTGGAAGTAGTGTAGACCCTATGAGTCGACCTAGTTATTTTATAAGCCTCGATTGACGAGAAGTCGCTAGTCATTGTCGATCGCCTTTTTTTTTTGAAAATATATTTAGTTCAATGTGTGTGTGTGTGTGTGATTTTGAAAGATATCATTTTTTATTTTTGAATTAAATGAGACCATATGGATCTCATATATTTAATAATTTAGATTGTTGAGCACAATGCTGCGAGTGATATACCACATCGAAAGATAAGCGTATCACTTATTAGTAGGCTCAACTACTTAAACTAATAAATTCATGACATATGTTTAGTCTGTGAATTTTGTGACCGACAAATCCCCTACCTAATATGAAGCTTAGATAGGGTTTATATTACATGGGTTCCTAATTCTCTATAAGAGCAAACTTCTATAGTTAATTACATCCCAATTGACTGAAGTCACTTAAGAAACTCTCGATTAAGATCAGGAGGTTTGTCTTCAAGAATTCAAAGTTAAGTATTCACGTTTGTTCGTAAGAAAATCAAATGGGAAAGACTCAAGTAGTAAAGATTATTTTGGAGACCAAATAAGTGAGAGGTATGAGATCACAGACTTGTTATGACTTCCCAAATCATCCCACTATTTGGTTTTATGTCCTTGAAAGAGGAAATTATATTGTTTGAATCATGCAATTTATTAATGTTTAGGATTTATATCTGCACGACATATGATCACGCAAACTGCCCAATTAAATAGAAGGATTTATATCGTACCGAATGAGCAACCTCATAATCATAAAAAGAATTGGGACTTATATCGCACAATATATAAGTGTACGAATTTCTAAAAAATAACATGAGATTTACATTGTGTTAGATGAACAACCTTGAAGTCCTATTGGTTTATGTTATTTAAGATTACATAAATTTTAGTTGTTGATTGTCCTTCGCTTTCCGTTTCAGTCTTGATCGTCGTTCGAAGTTGCCCCTAGAAGGCTTGCTCTGAGCTTCTTACTTTGGTAGTTTTGGGTTTTAAGAAAATGTGCTTTAATTTTTATTGTTGAGTTGTCGAGTCTTAGTGTAAGGTTTCTCCTAAAAAGGTGTTCTACTGTTCTCTATCTTATGGGTCTTTTATAGGTATCATAAATAACAAAATAGCAATAATGCACGTGTAAACAGACATGTGTTTATAGTAAAGTGCAAAAAGATGGAAAATACAATAAAAAGTAAAAGGTGGGACATACTTGCCTTTAATGTTGTCGCTAAAGAGTTAAAATTACAGGTTAAGCATATAAACATTGCAAAAGTTTATACAAGTGCAAAAGTCATGAGCATATATGTATGTAAGATGGCCAGGTGACACATGCATGGAATACGAGGCTAGGTATAAGAGTTTAAGTTAGGAAATCAGAACTGAAGCCCTGAGGATTTCTCGAGGGACATCTGTAAGCAACCATCACCATCATGCATATATTACCTAACAAAGGGTTAAAAGTTGTCTGCAAGATAATCACGCAAGGGTAACTCCCAGCCCGCTCTATATGATTTACAAGTGAACTTGCCAAAATGTGACACTCAAAAGATTTTTTTGCATCTGTCATGCATATAATGACTTTAGATTTTTCAAAATATCAATTTCAAAGCAAAGTATCAGCTTCATTTCAAAGAGATGTATTTTTTATCATTCAATTATATATTTTACAACTTAAAAATTTCACAAGTCAGTTGCGCCATCAGGCTAAGTTACCAGTAACACATGAGAGTAAGGATGACTTTCTACCAAATATTGGTGAATAGTGGCATCGATCCCGCATCCTCACGAGCTTATTAGGCTTAAGAGATGCAACACTACTCTGCTATCACACATATTTAGATGTCTTTCTCAACATCGTTCATGAACACAAACTTTTCAACTTATAACCTTGCTGGATGATCCATATAACACCACATTGTAGAGATAGATTGTTCACCGACGTGAAGTTTGAGGGGTTGCTTCATGATCATTCAACGTTTCAACCACGTCTGGGTTTACCTAGCAAAAGCGCACCGAGAATTTGGTATGAGAATTAAGTGTTGAATATGCGATCACGAAACAATGCGTAAGTCAAAAATATGAATACAACTTTTAAGGATGTTGATTAAATGTAGGTCAAGCCAGCCAACTTGCATAGCATAATAAGGCGGACATGCATGTGTACTTGTAAACAAAGAAACCTCTTTTGTATAAATCTATCAACTTATAGACGTAAGTGTTAATGGTCCAACGTGGTGATGGCTAGACGGTAGTGGAGGCTAAAAGTCATCAAACGCATAGAGATCTCTTTAATCTTCTTATGCTCAGCCCCCTCTTCATGATGTTAGGAGTGACAACCTCTGTAAATACTCTATTGTTAGGTATGGCTCATATAAACAAAGAAACGTCTTTTGTATAAATCTGTCAACCTATAGACGTAAGTGTTAATGGTCTAACGTGGTGATGGCTCGACGGTAGTGGAGGCTAAAAGTCATCAAACACATAGAGATCTCTTTAATCTTCATATGCTCAGCCCCCTTTTCATGATGTTAGGAGTGACAATCTCTGTAAATACTCTATTGTTAGGTATGGCTCATA